AATTCCAGGACTCCTGTGGTTGTGGACTCTCGTCTCACCTCGCGCCCGGAGAGAGTCTGCCGGTCGGGTTCCTCGGCCGCTCTGAGCCTCGCTGGCCTCCTCGAACCACGAGACAACATGTCCGACATTCCTCTGCCATCAGAGACACGTTCTGGGCTCTGCCTTCCCCTGGCATAGTGGAAGGGATAAAAGGTTAACATCTGCTGGACGTATCAAACAAACATGACAGAGGTGGGATATGCGCCATAATGTTGATTGACTGTGGTGAGTTCATTAGGCGACTGGTGTTTCCTATGTGAGGCCGTTAGAAAAGAAAGGGGGCATTTCATTTGGCCAGCATGATTAGTTTGACGAGCCTCATGCGCTTTGGAAAATTAAAACATTTCAACAAGTGATGTAATTAGGGGGTGTTTGTGCAATCAGGGTATATGCAAGAATCCTGAAGTCATAATGTAATCCCTTTTAAGGACCCTTGTTCGATGACATGTCATTCCACTTGCGAGTTCTAACCGCGTTACCTTGCGCGACACACTTTACCTCACATTGGTAACTATATACAGTATTGATTGTCCTTCCTCCTTATCTTACAACCATTTTGGAACGCAGATTTGCATTCCCCATAATCGGGGTTGTGTTTAACAACCGTGCGTAAAACAGGCCCTCGCGCGCCTATCAGCAGTGAGCCGTGGATGTCCTGTTCAATGACGTTCAGTCCAACGGCGATGCCATAAATTAAACTCCACAGAATCGACACTACACACCTACGCAATGATTAAAATTCAAGGCAGGACTGGTAGAGATACAACCTCTTTGGCACAATTGTATATACTTATTGAAAACAAGGCTACAAAAGTGTAAAACCTTGGAAAATGCGGCTTTAATGACTTTCTTGAATAGGCCTTTAGCCTTTTTCGCAAGATTGAGTGAGTCAACTTTTATACTGCTTTAAGACCCCCGGACACCCGGTTAATCTTAGTTAAAAAAACGTATTTTTCTTCTGTTATGGTATTTTTTAGATTAAAAGAATCCATAAAAACCCTTTTGAAAAAACAACAATCATTCATCAACGAATTTTGATTTGCTTCTGAGCGTGTATTTGTGTGCTTCCAGGTTTGTTTGGGCTTCTTCTCAGTAGAAGGGGAGGGCTATGGTTTCTGAGTATGTAGTCAGTGTGACATCAGCCATCGAAGTGAACACAGACGGCTGGATTTGTTAAAGGAGCCACCTCTTAATATTGGTGGGGGTATCACTGGCAACGCTCTTTTTCATGTGTAAACTGAAATGCTGCAGTTTAGGCACAGCCTGGAATAAATTCGTGAAGCTAAAAAAAACATTTACTCTCCAAATTTTGCAGCCTTTGCCAAGAAAATGCGAATATCTAAGTGAGGGGGGGGGCGGCCTTGGGGGTTGGGTGAGGGGGGCGTTGGGAAAGTCTCAAGAGGCCGGATCTGTAACCGAAGCTCTGCTGCTTTAAAGCTTAACAGCCAGCAGACACATACGCTGTCAGTTGTGTGTGCGTGTTACCGCCTCCCTCTCCCTCTCGCTCTCCAGGGCGAGCGCGTGGTCAGTGTCAGACCAGTCCCCCCCGGCCAGGCGGAGGGCGCGCTTCACTGGGAGGCTGTCTCAGCCTTGTGGGACACACACACACACACACACACACACACACACACACACACACACAACACACACACACACACACACACACACACACACACACACACACACACACACACACACACACACCACACACACACACACACCACACACACACACACCACACACACACACACACAACACACACACAACACACACACTCACACACACACACACACACACCAACACACACACACCACACACACACAGAGATAGCAGTTTGCTTCAGTCAAGGCCATGGTCAAAAATAGCTCCCGCGCCAAAGCAAAAACACTGCTCGTCTCTGTCAGCGTGCCTTTTTTAAAAGTGCCCCCTCCTGGCAGGAGGTTGCCTCCATTTTCCAGTCCCCTGGCGCTCTTTTGCAGGCAACAGGCCGAGAGCCCAGAAATAGAAAAGGGGGTTCTAGTGCAGGGACTATCAACTGCTCTTACTTAGGAAATGTCATCAGGTCTTGGTTATGGGCTTAGAGGCGCGTGAAAAGGAGCAGAGATAGTGGGATACATCAAGATAGCAGAGGGCCCTTAAGAAAACCAGGGCCACAGGTGAAGGAAAGATGAGAGAGAGGGGTGGGGGGCTCTGCTTGGCCCACTCAGCCTGAACTATTTTGGAGGGTAGAGGAACACTGCCTACGTCGGTGGCTGTATTTGGAAAGGAATGTGTGTGGTGGTTGCATCCCGACACAGCTGAACTCAGCACGAGGCTTTGAAACACTGGCACCATGATCCAGCACATTCAGACACACGCCGACACCAGTAAACACTTTTTTGAAAATGCTCACCCAAACAGACAAGATGACCCAGATACATTTAAGAAAAACACAGAAGAAGAAAACCGTTCTAATCAATAATCCATTTAGCCTGTTCTTCCTACATCACAGTGTTTCCCTCTCCGCTCAGGGCATCAGTTATCATCTCTTGGTGTGTTAGGGTTAACACACTTTCACTGTATACCGGGAAGGCTTTGCTTGGCCACACTTTCTGTTTCGGTTTATTTTCTTTGGTACATATACAATTAAATGGAATAATTAGATGCAAACCGTGGGCGCCAGACTATTAGAAAACAGAGTCAACAAAAAAAGGAAATGCTTTAAACTGCCCAATAAAGATGATATATATAAAAAAAATAGGAAGATTTCCTGCTTTTTCTCTGTTTTGTATAAAACTTAAATGAATATCTTTGAGTTTTTGAGCAACAAAACGAGAGAGAAACTGGTATGTACTTTGTGCCACCAATAGACCAAATGATTTATAGCTGAAACAAAAATAAACAACAGATAAATCAATAATGAAAAATATCGTTCTATTTATCAAGCTCCATAACAGTTTACAATTGTATTTATTTTTAATTTAAACATGCTGCTTTGGAGCATATCTTTTTTATTTGTTGCAACCCATCCAATACATTTAAATGAATTGAAAGTGCTGAATATACTGACCCAAAGACATATCACTGTCCTGCACCATTATCGTGACTAAAACCAGGAATCCCCCAACAAGAAACATGCCCGTTTGTTAAACTGGTTTCAAAATGGTGGAAGGAGCTCTCATTGATACCAGGACAAAAGGTGGTTTCCACTGCACGAAAGAAAATCTTATTAGAATGTAGCGCTTAAAATGGTAAGGGTTATTGAAATGAACTTGCAGGAAGCTCGCTGTTTTGAGTTTGCATGTTATAAGTCTCTGTACTGTATGTACATGTACAGCAGAGACTGGTGTAATATGAGGAGCCTGACTCCATGGCTCACCTCCTCCCTCCTCTCCTCTGACGGGCCCTTCAGCTCTCGGGCCTGGTCGTCTTTGGGGTCGAACAGGTAGATGTAATCGGAGGAGTAGCTGACCAGCACCTCCTGGCCGTCCGCGCTGTAGCAGAGAGACGTCACGCGGCACGACTTGTTGGACAGGTGAGCGGGGACGAACCTCACACACATCCCCGTCGTCCCCCGGCCCATGTAGTTACCTGAGGACGAAAGAAAATCCCTGTTAACCTCAGATAATCAAACTTGCCAAAAACCCAAATACCACATTTTGAAACTATCGTTATTTTATTTTTTGTGATATATTTTTTATTTACATTTCGCAGCAAACAATTACACAATTGTTTTTTCAAGACGTAGTAATTGTACATCTTAAGTTTGTCTGTCCGAAATGCCTTTTTCATGCCTTTGACATTTGTAAAAAAAAATATATATGGCCTATGAGGTTTTACGAAATCAGTCCACTTTCTCCATCGTGACACAAATAGTTCCAGTTTGTGATTCCATTGTCACTTTTGAATGCTTTTGGTAAAAATCAAGTCATGTGAATCTACTACATCAACATGAATATAAGGACAGATGTGTGACGGCGTACCTGTGGCTCTGGTTCCCAGCATGCGTCTGTCGTAGATCCGCACCGAGCTGTCGGAGCAGCCGACGGCCAGGTAGTACGGCACCAGAGGAGAGATGGATATAGAGGTCGCTGCCCGGCGACAGTTTATCAGAATGTCCTGAAGTCAGAGCAAAAACAATGAGGAGGGTAGTGAATGATGGTCAATGAGGGATTCACAAAGTCAGCAGCAACAGAGGTATTTTAAGAGTCAGTATTTCCTATCGCTGTACCAAATGACTTTTTACACTATTTTAAAATGAAGCTTCACATGTCTGTCGTCATAGTTTGATATTATCATCTTACAAAAAAGGGGGAAAAAGTCATTGTAGTTTTTTCATTGTGGTTGTATAAAGATTGGATATTTTTTAATACATTTTATTTAAAACAATAATGAAAAAAATGCATTACGCCTTATTATGTAATAGCATTTTTTAAGAAAGACAGCGTCAGTAACTCGTGGGGAAAACATAGTATGCCAGTTTTTTCACAAACGGAACAAGTCAGCGGCAAAGTGTTTCCTCGTACTTTACCAAATGTAAGAGTTCCATCTAAGTGATCAATTATTTAAAGAATAATTTCAATGACAGTAGATGTCCACTTGTTACATTAACATGCAGGGCCGGACTGGGACAATAAGTCAGGCCGGGAATTATACACCCAGCCTGGCCACTACCAGTTTTCTTTTGTGCCATTTTCCTGGATTTATTTGTCAATATTTACAGCGTTGCTGCCCATAGTGATAGCCCTAAACTTTAAATCTACTACCCCAGAATAAACATATGGACATGGGTTACTATTTAAAAAAAATGTGCAAATCTATTTAGGAACCTATCCATGTGAACATATTTTAAATGGAAGTGGACCTCAAATCCTCTAGGGGGATCCGGGGGCATGCTCCCCCGCGTAAGATATTTTTTTTAAATGTTGGACTTAAATGCATCAATCTGGTGCACTTTGAGGGGGAAATAAAGAGAGACTAAACCCATATGAAACAGAACTGTATACATTTAAATAATCATAAAATCATAATAACATGTCCATAACCAATAACATATCATATCCAATATGAAAAAACATTGAAACTTGTTTATTTATTTGTTTTTGGTTCATTTATAGTTGTGAGTGTGTCTGGGCTCCTGAACCAGCCTCACCTGTCTCCCCCTCTCCCCCCACTCCTCTTTGAGGCAGCAGAAAATACTAGTTTTAGCTCTCAACAAGTTTATCTTACCTTTTTTCACCTAGTTAACTTTTTTTTTATTATTCATGCGTATTTTACTAATCACTCCCCCTTCAAAAAGGAAATATGTGTTTACATAAAGGGTGACCGAACCGTTTGAGACCCACAGAGAACTTAGACTAAGTTAACTATC